AATGAAGAAAACTATCCCATTTATAATAGCCTCAAAAAAAAATACTTGGGAATCAACTTAACAAAAAAGTGAAAGATCTATACAGTGAAAACTAAAAGAAAAAAAGAACTAAAACCCTAAAGAAATAAATCAATGAAGACCTTAGAAGAGGGAAAGATGTACCTTGCTCTTGGATAGGCAGAATTAATATTATCAAAATGACCATACTAGCAAGAGCACTATATAGATTTAATGCAACTCTGATCAAAATCCCAATGGCATTCTTCATAGAAATAGAAAAAGCAATCATGAAAATCATCTGGAAAAATAAGAGACTCAGAATTGCTAAAGCAATCCTTAGCAGAAAGAGTGAAGCAGGTGGCATCACTATACTAGACCTTAAACTATACTACAGAGCAATAGTAAGAAAAATAGCATGGCATTGGCACCAAATCAGACTGGTAGATGAATGGTACAGAATAGAGGTCACAGAGACTAACCCACAAAACTACAATTAACTTATATTAGACAAAGATGCCAAAAACAAGCATTGGAGAAAGGATAGCCTCTTCAATAAATGGTTCTGGGAAAATTGGAAATCCATATGCAACAAAATAAAATTAGACCCATATCTCTCACCATGCAAAACTCAACTCAAAATGGATCAAGGACCCAGAATACAACTAGAAACCGTGCGTCTAACAGAAGAAAAAGTAGGCCCTACTCTCCATCATGAGGGAGTAGTCCCCAAATTCCTTAATAATACTCCTATAGCGCAAGAATTAAAACCAAGAATCAATAAATAGGATGGACTCAAATTAAAAAGTTTCTTCTCAGCAAAAGAAACAATTTGTGAGGTGGATAGAGAGCCTACATCTTGAGAGCAAATTTTTACCCCGCACACATCAGATAGAGCACTAATATCTAGGGTATATGAAAAACTCAAAAAGCTAAACACGAAAAAACAAATGACCCAATCAATAAATGGGCCAAGGAACTGAACAGACATTTCTCAGAGTAGGATATTCAATCAACACATATGAAAATATTTTCATCATCTCTAGTAATTAGAGAAATGCAAATCAAAACTACTCTAAGATACCATCTCACTCCAGTAAGAATGGCAGCTATTAAGAATACAAACAACAATAAGTGTTGGAAAGGATGTGGGGAAAAGTCACACTCATCATTGTTTGGTGGGCCTGCAAATCAGTGCAGCCAATATGGAAAGCAGTATGGAGATTCCTTGGAAAACTGGGAATGGAACCACCATTTGACCCTGCTATCCCTCTCCCTGGTCTATACCCAAAGAACTTAAAAACAGCATACTACAGGGACAAAGCCACATCAATGTTTATAGTAGCACAATTCACAATAGCTAGACTGTGTAACCAACCTAGATGCCCTTCAGTAGATGAATGAATTTTTAAAATGTGGCATATATACATAATGAAATATTACTCAGCAATAAAATGGAATAAAATCATAGCATTTGCATGTAAATGGATGCAGTTGGAGAAGATAATGCTAAGTGAAGTTAGCCAATCCCAAAAAATCAAATGCCAAATGTTTTCTCTAATATGAGGTGACTGACTCATAGTTGGCTAGGAAGAAGGCGCATGGGAGGAATAGACAAACTCTAGATAGGGCAGAGCAGTGGGATGGAAAAGAAGGGGGCAGGGGGTTAGCAATGATGGAGTAATGTGATGGACATCATAATCTAAAGTACACGTATGAAGATGTGGATTGGTGTGAACATACCTTATATGCAGAGATATGAAGTATTGTTTTATATGTGTAATAAGAATTGTTATGCATTCTGCTGTCATGTATTTAAAAAGTAAAACCAATTAAAAAAAGACAAAAAACAGACATAGACATTCATGTTTTATACCTTACATATGAGAAAACTATATCTCCTATATTTACAATTCTTCCTCTACTACAAACTTGTATTAACAATTTTTTTAACTCCAATTAATTTTCACATGCCTCATGATAGACAATTCTCTGTTATATCAGGTTATACATTTCCTGTCTTCCTTAATTTCTACCATTCCTCTTATAAATGGGTTAAAGGTGTGCACAAATAAAGGTAAACAAAGAGGAGTAATATCTGTTCTTATTAATGATAAATAGACTGACTATTATATACTACTTCAAATCTCTCTACAGCAACCTGCTTTAACTACCATTATCCTGGCACAAAGACTATTTTCTACTACTTTAAACATTATTACAGATTCTCGATAGGCATAGGACAAACATATAGAAATACACAGTAGTAATATATATATATAAATAAATTTGTTCCTCATATTTTATAGCTTATATTTTTATATCCTCATTTGGATTTCAACTTACTATCTCTTTTTTTAACCTTCTAAACTATTTTGTAGCATCATATATCTCCTATCTTCCTCTCTCATATATGCAGCCATACCAAGATGCTTTTGATGGAATGTAATGCTCACACAGGTAAAATTGTGAAATCCCTTTGTCCTTTATTTTCAGATGGTGTGAAATCCCATGGATTTTTTTCATCAAAATGCTCAGTCACTAATGAAAATGTTTTTCACATCTTCTTAATTGGTTCATGCTATAATCAACAAATTTCAAGCCCCTGTGTGAAAATCTTAAAATCCACAAGGCCTACGTTCTAATATACTTTGGCAAATGGATGTTACTCATTTCCCTCCTTTTCATCCTTACTTCTTTCTTCATGTTTTTTTGACATTCATTCTGGGTTCATTGGGGGCAAGTGCCCAAAGGTCTGATAAGGTGTCTACTTGCATTTCCCATTTATTACTTTGTTTTGCCATCATGGGCAAGCCTATTCATTTAAAAATGGATAATGCCTCTACATATATATCTCATGTTTTTACACAATTTTATAATCAATACAATATAATTTTAAATCATAAATTTTTTAATTATCCTACCAGACAGGCTTTGATTAAACAAGAACATCATACTCTTAAAACTTGCCTTTTAAAGTAAAATAAAAAAGGGGAACTTGCTTCTCTCATATTTATAATGCTGTAAATACTGTTTTATTAACAGTTAATGCACTCAACATGCAATATAAATTTATAATCACACTTGATCATCTGCTTTGGATAGACATCTTATTCCCAAACAGACATTAGCAAAAATTTATGTAATATACAGGTTTTAACCAGACCCAGGATGACAACACACTGATCACATGGGGAAAAAGATACACTGCTATGCTTCCACCAACAGGTCTAAACTCACACAAAACTCTGTAAATACTTTGGTCTTAACAATAATGTTATTCTGTTGTACCCCAGCCATGAAAATTCAGTAACCTCAGACTCCTTGACTTCTAAAACCCATTATAATATCTGGGTTCACTTGGCTAAAATTGTTATATACCTGCAAAAATGTCTCATGGTACCCATTGTTGTCTTAGCAGACTGTGTTCTTACCATCCCCACAGGATATAAAAGGCCACCATCCTGCACAATGTATCCATAAAGGTCTATTCCCCTTGATAAAAAAAACAACAACTGTGGATTCATTAAGCCTTCTCTCTAAGGCAAAAGTTGACACTTTGACATTTTCCTTAGTGGGTATCTCTGACCAGTTGCCAGGGCTTACAAAACTACTATAAAACTGGACTGTGCTATGGTAAAAAATATTAATCATACCTCTATGGCAATTAATATGCTTAATGAAGAACAAAAACAAATTGTCAAACCATACTTGACAATCAGGCTGAAATTGATTATTTGTTATTATTATATCACAAGTATGTCAGGAGTTTAATAATGTGTGTTGCTTTAACTTAAGTGATAAGAGTAATTCTATTTCAAAGGAATTAGATTACTTTAATGATATCATTGATGAGGTCTGACAAGATGATGGAGGTTTAGACTTATTGGATTGGATAACTTCATGGTTACTCAACTTTTCTTGGTCAAACAATTATTCATAGGTGGATGTTTACTAATACTGGGATTGTTATGTTGTGCTTGCTGTTGTCAATGCCTACCCTATTTTTTGCCTCCATCAGCATTAAAAAGAAAACTATTATGCATTTCAGAGGACTTAAAAGACAGGAAAGGGGATTTGTAGGGTTTCTGTGTTTGGGATTGGTGTTCCTGATGACTGCATGACTGTGGCATGCTTGGTTCCTAGGAAATTTTCTGTGCAAAGGCAGAGGATTCCCAGTTGCTATAGTAATGCACTCCATGCTAGACTCTTATCAGCCTCGACTGTAATCTTAGGCACATAGTTCCTGGGAATAGAAGAACTTGTTTGCTAGATAACTACAATGTTTTCCAAGCTCTGGTGCTCCTGGTGCTGCCCACCTAACAGTAATTTCAGACAACTGACTTTATTGAGAACTGCACAAAGCTCTTAATATTGCATATTTGTAACTATGAAATGTAACTGCAGAATAAGCAACTTCACTGATAATCTAAACAGTAATGTGGTTATAGTACTAATGACCTAATATAACCTGTTTGTATAAATAAATGTGGTCACTTGGACAAGGAGCCACTCTGCTACCTTCCCTGGCTCTACACCTTGACTCTCTCTTGTCTTTATTATTGTTCCTTACAGAAATAAATGATCACAATGATACCTATCAAGAGTTGATTGTGTTGGTGGGAATAAATTGATAGCACATAGCAAGCAATGTGGATAACTGTGGTCCAGTCATTCACCCTCTTACTAAGGAAATACACATCAATTAATATAACTTAAGACTAAATTAGCCAATTGCTTTGAAAGTTTATCAGATTATAATTGTATGCTCCAATATTCTCAGTTCAGTCTGTCTGATTCTTTTTACATAAATTGCTATCATTGCAAGTTTTCCTCACAACTACCTTAGAAATAGAATTGCAAGAGGTGGATAAAGTAATGTCTATGCAGTATCCATTTGTGGATTTATTTTAACTCATCCATTATCTTTGAATACACAAAACTTTCTTAACAACATCCTACAGGCATAGGACAAACACGTAGAAATAGACAGTAGTAATCACCTGTACATGTGATATGAGCTTCCTCCTCTGAAGAGCAAGATTGGTATTTCCAAGGGTCAGAAGGACACTGCCAGAGAGAGGTATCAGTTTCCCGACAGCGGATTCCATCTACCCAGCGGGGTCTAGAACCTTCTCTAGAAGGAACCCAAAAATCCAGAGTCCTAGTGTCCCCACAGCCAAGCTGTCTGCAGATTATGGACAAGGTCATGGGTTCCATGGGGCTGTGGCAGATACTGCCCCAAGTGTTGTTATAGAAAACCTCCAGCCACCCAGAACACTCCTGGTCCTGGCTCACTAGCCTGAGGGCCAGGAACTCTGAAATGGAAAAGAGAAAAACAGGGGTCAGTGAGCATTCAGCTCTTATTGCTGTTTTTTCTTTATTCCTAAATAGTGAGTACTCATTGCTGACTCTGCTGAGGAAATGCCCACTACGTGGAAGACAGGAAGTTTTTTTTTTTTTCCCTCTAACATGTTTTGCTAACTTGTACCTCTCTTTCTGTTTCTACAACAATGTAATATTAGCAAATCAAGAGGCAGGAATACTATCTGGGGGCTCTGCAGTGAGTAATCTCTTTATCTACTCTCTGAATAATCATCTGACAGGCCCTAGAAAAGGATGTATGACATGGATGTGGCACATTAGTGGAGCTCCAAATATGCTCACTCCCTGATCCTCAGAACCTGTGAATATTTTACCTATTGCTAAAGGGCTTTAAAGACATCATTAAGAGAAGAATCCTTTCATGGATTATCCTGGATCGTCGTGGATTAATAGGTGAGTACAATCTAATCATATCCTTAGACCTGTGTCCTCAAAAGCAGATAATTGTTTCTGGCCCTCATCTGAGGGAGATATGTTCATGGGATAATAGAGGATTGCACTGCTGTTGGTTTGAAGAAGGAAGGGACCATGAGACAAGGAATTCAAGCAACATCTAAAAGCTCCAAAAAGGAAAGAAATTAGTCTTCCCAGAGCTTTGGCTGTTGAAGCCTGTTCACACCTTGTTTATAGCCCAGACATACCCAGGTCAATCTTCTAACCTACACATTGTAAGATGATAAATTTGTGTTGTTTTGAATCATTCAATCTATGGTAAATTGTTACAGCAGAAATAGAAAACTAATTCAGTGGGTCAAGATGTTGCACCCACATGTCATAGAAGAGTGATGACTGCTTTGAATGGACAGTATAGAGAATGACTGTGACAGCGGACAGTGTTGAGAAGGAAGGAGCAGAAGTTCAGTTGCTGCAGCGGGAAAGGAAAAAATCTCATTTTCTCCCCCACTGAAATAACCGAAAATGTAAGAGGAGCATCCTCCTCCTCTGCCCTGTCAACAACTGACCAATCCCTGTCCTAGGGCTCAAACACTATCCTGCAGACTTTCCATTACCCTCCCCCACTTGTGCACAGTGCGCACTACAAACCTGAGCAGATGGCTCCAGCATCCTCCTTGTGACTGCAGTTGTGTTGCCCCCAGCCCTGGGAAGGGCACAGCCACACATGGGCCTCCTCTCCTGTGCAGTTTACCTCATCCAGCCAGATGGGCCCTGATCCTTCTCCAAAGTAAGCAGAAATGGTGGCCTCCAGAGCCACTCCACAGCCCAGCTGTCTGCACACGACTTGTGCATCATTCAGGTCCCAGCTGTCATCACAGATGGAGCCCCAGGAGCCCTGCTGAAGGATCTCTACTCTCCCTGCACAGCGACTGCCCCCATCCACCAGGCGGAGCTGTCTGTTGTCTGAGGAGAGACAGGGTCATGTCAGTGGACATGTGCATAGGGAATGGGAAGGCTCTGTTGCTGGAGTCTTTGCTCACCTGAGCAGTTGGCAGTGTGGCCCTCTGAGGCTGCAGAGTATGCTGGGTTAGACCAGGAGTCATTGCATGGGGGCAGCAGTTGTGTCTGGTTTCCTACCAAATGGGTTAGAGAAAAGAAATCTGAATTAAAGTACATAGTAATCTAGTGATGCCATCTGAGGTGAAAGCTGTTACAAAGGAACATTAATTTTCTATCTTCAGAGCTGAACTTCTGATGAAGATTTCTGCTTTTCATTATGCCAGACTTTTTTGTTTTAAGTGCACATGTAGGAATGAGTTTAGAAAAGTGAAATATATCAGGGCTGCTTGAGAGCATTGCACAGCTTCCAAGGCAACAAGACATTTAGAGTCAAGTTCAGAGAAAAGTGAAAACTAGAAACAGGTATTTTCCCCCTTAGGCATTTTTTCATTCAAAGTTAGTAGGTAAGATTTTAAAAATTTCAGCATGTTTGCCAAATTTTTCTGGGAATACACAAGTATAATTTAGTTTGGACCAAAGAGGTGAAATTCTATTGAACATCCAGAAATCTTGCATCACATTTTTTGAACTGAAAGTCGAGTTTTTATTTTAGATGGTGTCCATTTCTAACCACTTCAATCTTTTTAAGGTGACCCTAAATAAACTGCATGGAAGAGGCAAAATACCTTTATGAAGGTTTCATATTATGTGCATCTTGGCAGATAAATAATTAACAAAAATCCAATCAATATTTGAGAGTCATGTGTTATTTTAAAAAGTCAGTAGCTAAAAGTAAGAACAAGTGGATGAGTCTAACAACACTGTAGATGCTCTTCAAAATAGAAATAGTGGAAGAACATGGGAAAATACAGAATAAAGCACAGAAACTCAACAGGATAAAAAATATAATAAGGAACTAAGAGTGATGACAAGATAAACTAACATTCTTAATACTCTATAAGTTTTAGGTACTTTAATTTTTTTTTAAATTATGGCTCTTTTTAGTTATACATGACATAAGATTCCAATTTTACACAATCATAGAAGCATGGAATATGTCTTATTCTAGTTATAGTTACATTCTTATTGATGTACATGATGGAGGAATTCACTGTGATGTTTTCATATGTGCATGAGGGAAAATTATGTCAGATTCTTTCCACTGTTCTTTTCCTATCCCTCTCCTGTTCTTATATATCCTATTTCTAATCTACTGTATTCCTATTCTTCCCCTCCTTGCCCCCTCTCCTTATTGTGGGTTAATTTCCATATATCAGAGAAAACATTTGACCTTTGGTTTGATAGTACTAAAGTAAAAATTAGAAAATACATAAACTGGGATATTTAATACACCTGTAGTGTTTAAAAATATCCACAAAATCTGTCACACTCTATCCATTTCTCCTGCCCTCCACTCTGGGCTGACAGTGGTAAGTTGCCTATAAGCAATAAAATATGGTGAAGCCAGAATAGCTTCACTTAGGAAACTAGCTTAGAAAGTCAGGCCTCCTGCTCTTGACATGGTAGGATGTTTGCTTAATGGGAAATCTACTCTGTAAGGACTATCATGTGGGAGAGAGTATTTGCAGGTAGTTCTGTCAGCAACCCCAGGTGAACTTCAAGCTATCAGCCATGTGAATGAACTGTCCTGGATTCCCAGCTTGGTCAAGACTTCAATGAACTCAGCTGCAGATGAGATCAAGTGTAACATAATGAGACCACAAGAGACAACTGCCAAGAGTCCTTGCCAAATTTGTGAATCTACAAATTATGAGAAAAATGAAATGTGATTTTTATTTAAATTGCTATTTTTTGGGGAAATTTTATTATGCAGCAATAGTCACCAAGATTACACTTACGATGAAACACAGAAATCCTACATTCCCATGCTCATTCTGGCACTATTTACAATAGCTATGGTATGTAATCACTCCAAGTGCTCACTGAAAGAAAAATTTATGAAGTACAGATAATATATGCATACAGCCATAAAGAATGAAATCCTGTCATTTGCATCAAAACAGATGGAATGAAAAACATTGTGTTGGGTTAATAAAGCAGATACAAAAATATAAATCCCCATGTCCCCTATTATATGTGGAAGCAAAAACGAATCCACTGGAAAATAGAGAGGAAATTGCTACAGCATGTAGATCATATTTATAGTAGTAGATCTGTCCAACCTAAAAATTCTTGTATGTAAATTTAAGAAAGACATGTTTGGGGCTTAATTTTTCTAACATATATAGTTTACATTTCTACATTAGAAAAATGTCAAAGCCAGTTTTCATTTATATTTAACAGACTCAAATATCGATTTACAAGTTCTCTTATTACTTACTTATTTTTGCTTATTGCCATAGCTCAAAGTGAGAAATTTTCATAAATTATTGGCTTGTATTCTTCAAAAATATCATTAGCATGGAATACAAAGAAAAATTAAAAGAGTTTCATAGTAAGAAAGATAACTAAACATGAGAACTGAATGTAGCACATTACCATACATTTTTTCCTGTGAATAACTTATTTAGGAAAAGTAATAAGAATCTGAATAAGACTAATGCTATATGATTATATTACAGCAAGGTGGATTTATGGAACTTGCAACAATGCTATTGTTACATTTGAAATTCTTAAAATATTTTAGGAGTAATGGGACACATTATATTATCCACGTAGTCTTAACTATTCATTCAAAAAGATTTGATAAATTTAGGCATAAATGGAGCAGAAGGAGAGAATATATTAAAATAGTGGCATTTGGAGATTTGGATAGGGTTATTTGGGAATTTTATACTATCCTTGAAACTTTTTCAGAATTATCAAATTAACACAAATAAATAAAATGAAAGAAAGGAAAAAGAAAAACCAACCCCTTTCCTACACACATACAAAAATATAGGTGAAAACAATTAAAGCCATTTATAGGATATTTCACCAAAAGAAACATTAATTGAACCAAACAAAAAATACCTAGAAGTAAACATCATAAAGGCTATGTATAATCTCTGAGAGAAAATAGATATACCTTGGAAGTAAGTTATATCCATATTCATGTGTTGTCCAAGTCCAATATCAACCTAAATACCATCATGCTTTTATTTATATTATATATATGAAGTTGTTTCTAAAATTTATCTGAAATGCATATGACCAAGTTATGACTAATGCATTAGGTAATAGAAGCTGCACAATTAGAAGAGTTAGTTTAAAGTAATTCTTAAAGAAATCTTACTCAGTCATGCTAAAAAGTTATAATAATAAAGGAGATAAGTACAGTTATAAGGATGTACAAACAACAGGATTAAATGGAACAGAGTATAGAATGAGTAGGAAAATCTACATTGTTTATTTCAAAGGTGATTCTGTGGTGGGGAAAAGCTTTTTTAGTAATGATGCTGAGTCAACTTGCTGTCCAAACAATAATGTGAAACTTTTTGTCAGGTCATACACACCCTTACAATATCAACCCCAGTACTGTGCAATTAAAGAAAAGTAATTAAACATGTGTGAGACAAACTGGGAGAATATTTTATGATCTAATTGTGAAATTGTTGTATGTGTACAAAAATGTTGATAAGCTGTGCTTCATTAAGAACATTTGACACCTGAAAGAATACTGTAATAAGAGAGTGAAAGTAAAAGGATAAGTGTTACAAACCTGATACAAATACATACATATTTGCACCAAAAGCTATTGCCATGTTAATATGTAGGATCGTTATTTGAGAAATCAACAAGTCTCAAATCTTAATATCAGTTGACTATCACTTCATGGTCCTGTGGTCATTCCGCAGAAAACTCAACAGCAAAAATAAGTAAATAAGTAAGTAAGTAAGTAAGTAAGTAAGTAAGTAAATAAATAAATATATAAATGAAGTTCTGCTTCAAATAGCAAAATAGGTGAATTCTAAGCACAATGTGGAGTCAAAATAGACACATCAAGAGAAGATATTCCATTATTTTACATAAAAGTCCAAGGCTGACAAAAATTTTCTTTGGCAGTAAATGTTAGAGTGGTCTTCTTTGGAGGAGAGCAGGACACAGTAACTGGAGGGATGGGATTGTGACTTCTGGAAGCCACTGAAGCTCTCTGACAGTCCAGGGTGAGGAACTTGACAGAGCTGTCATTCATTGCTATACATTTTTCTCTATGAATTTCAAAAAATAATGATGCTTACTTAAAAAGTACTCCTCCTTATACCCCTTGAGAGGGCCTGAAAGATGAATGATCATTGAGAAGTATCATAGTTCACCACAAAATGTTTCTTTTCTTCATTTATTGTTTTTAACAATTTTCCACTTAATATCACTGCTCTCTTTTAAGATTAGATAATAATCCCATTGCACATTCAATTTTTTTACAAAGTTGTTTTTAGTTGTTGATGAGCATTTATTTTTTCTTTTACTTTATTTTATGTGGTGCTAGGGATTGAACCAAACCCACTGCCCCACATATGCTAGACAAGTGCTCTACCACTGAGCCAGAACCCCAGCCCAGAATGTTTCATTTTTGAAGCCAGCTCTCCACACTGACTGCTCTTAGAAACATGTCACTCAAGTACCAGTCATCCCTGACCTCTCTTACCTGAGCAGACCACAGAGGCTGTGTTTCCATGCGCACAGGCAGGAACACCCAGGGCAGTCACAGGGCAATTCCACAAGAAGGACTCAGACCCTGAGCAGTGAAATCTGTCTCTCCAGATCTCATCTCCTCCTTGAACAAAGTATGCTCCCTTTGGGGTGGAGATGGCGACTCCACAGCCCAGCTGACGGCAAACTACATTGGCATTGGCCATATTCCAGTAGGAGGCACAGAGTGTTCTCCAGCCTCCAGAGGTCTTCATCTCCACTTGACCTTCACACTGAGAGCTGCCATTTTTCATGAGCCGAACATCTGTATATCCTGGTAGAAGACAGGGTTTTAGCAACACCACACATTTTTCATACCCCCACAGAGAGTGTAGGGAAGTTAAAGCCCTGTTGTGAACCTCACCTGAGCAGACAACTTGCACAGCCCCTCTGTGGTGGCAGCTACCTCTAGGACAGGGCACTCTGGGACAGAACCAGAGTTCAGGCTCCAGCCCCTCACACTGGAACTCTTCAGCCCAGACTTGTTCACTGTCTTCTCTGAAAGGCAGGTTCCCCAGGACAGCTGCAGCCTTGCCACATCCCAGCTCTGCACAGATGACCTGGGCTGTGGGTAATGTGAAATTCCCATCAGATACTAGAGTCCATCCTTCTCCAGAATTTACTTTGACTTCCCCAGAGCAAGGTCCGTGTCCTCCATCCAAACGCACAAATCCTATGGAAGAAATTAATTAACAAAATTAATACCTTGGCTTGGAATTGGTAGCTACATGTCACAGGCATGCTTGAGAGCTTTTCTTTCCCAGGGTGTGGGGAATGGATTAAAAGTTGATATCAGAATGGGAATTCCTTTGAGTAAGCATGTGAAGACAAATTTAGGAGGAGGAATTAAAAAGGTCAATTTTAAATGATTAACTCAAGAAATGAATATATATTTATATAACAATGTGTGTGTGTATGTGTGGTGTAATATATGTTTTTATTTTCTTCTATGTGAACTTATAATCCTTTATATTGAAATGGTACTTGTGTGTTTGTCTGTATATCTGTCTCTGTCAGTCTACTTCCTTTTTGGGGGAAGTTGTAATTATCTGCTTAATATGAACTTAAGTAGAAAAATACTAGGCTTAATTTTCACAATTTTATCCTCAAAAATTTTTAGCTCACTAAAAATTTCCAACATTTTTTAATGAAATAAAAATTCCATATATATCAAAACTGACTATTTATATTTATTTCCAATTTAGAGATAAGAAGAGTCAACTAAATAGTGAGAATGAGATGTAACCAGGTTATTTAGACTAAAACAATCAGGGTTCTTTACATCATACTTCCTGTTACAAAAGACAGAATGATAATTTACAAGTATAATTTTAAGTTCAAGAAAATAAAAATTTGGATCCAATTATTTGTGCATTTTTTGCCATTTTAAATTTTATTTTGAGGGATTTTTTGTTATTAATAAGTAGAGTTGGAAGAAGACATTATATATCTATCTCAACTAATCAGGAAGGAATTTAAAGTATGGGTTCAGACATTGGGGCAGACATCTGGACCCAGGTATGGAAAAGCATTGTAATAGTAAGTTTATGTCATAAAGAAGTTCAGCAGGGAATCCTTGCTAAAGAGAATAGCATGATCAGTGATTATTTTCCCAAAATAAGCCTTCAAGATTGAATGGATATCAAAAGCATTAATCTAGCTTATTAATTTTTTTACTTGAAGCATTATAATTAAAATACTCTCATTTCTGTCTGAAACTGACATCAAATGTGGATTTGTGACCTTGTGACTACAAGGTCATTTTAATTTGTATTATTACTACAGAGGTGTGGGAACAATGTATCTTACTTAGAAAATCACGGTGAAAATACAAAATTTTAAACTGAAATCACTAATATTTAGAATGCTATGTTTTAAAGAGCATGAGACTTACAGTGTATCATAAAAATCAGCTATCAATATTGTTGTCCAGTGACAGGAACAATAAAGATCAGCCTCCTGAATAGAAACCATCACTATAGGCTTTGCCTATGGATGCAGCCATGTCTTCTTCTCTGTGGATACTGGTTTCCATGAAGTTACATCTCCACACTAGGGATTACCACCACTACCACCACCACCACCATGAGTTGTGCATGACTGATTATAGTTCTGGCTTAATTAGATACATACATTTGTCTGCAGAAGCACTACTTCTTTTAAATTTTCTTATTTTTTCATCATATATTGTTTATTTCATGTTCCTAAGGAACAGACACTAGTATGGCAATATGTAAATCAATGGATGTGTAACTGATGTGATTCTGCAATCTGTGTATGGGGTGAAGGTGGGAGTTCATAACCCACTTGAATCAAAGTGTGGAATATGATATGTCAAGAAATTTGTAATGTTTTGAACAACCCACAATAAAAAATTTAAAAAAAATGTCCCAATTGAACTAGAATATAACATTACTTCCAAGTTCTATCTGAGAGAATTCAGTGGAATATCTGACTCCAGTGTCCAATAGTTGAAATGTTATGTGAGTATCAAACCTTTGCAAAAAACTTGTATATAATTTCCACTAATGAAAACTGGAAGCTTTTCAGATAAAGAAATAGATCACCAAATGCAGGTTTCACCTTTACTTTTCTATTCTTCACATATCAGAGAGACTTAATCCTGTTGTATCCGGAGAGGGTGAAGAGTAAAGTTCATACAGTATGCATACTCAGACCATCAACTGAGCATCTGTCGCTGTGCTGAACAGAGATACAGATGTGTTTAGAGGGCAGTATTGTTGCAAAATCAACAATATTTTAAATGATCTTTTAACCTATATTAATAATTTATTATTCTCTAGACATTTTTAATAAAATAACATGAATCCAGAAAATGAGAACCATTTTTTTTTCAAAAATACTTGATTTAGAAATTAGAGTCAGTTACCATCTACACACAGATGATCCTCACTTGTTTTTCTCAGGGGTTGAATTACTCTATTGTATTTAATGAAATATAAATAGAACAGTCAATGTATGGTTCAGATGCAGGTATACATTGTTCTATAAACCTAGATCCCCTTATTCCATAGGTGGATATTACTATGGTCTACATAGTTCTTCATCTAAGTAGGCATTTCTTATATCATAGTGGCTTAAAAATCCTCATTAGCTCTATTTGCAAAATACATATCAGTTTTGGCTATATGTCAATGGTATAAAGGGATCTGGAGACAAAAAATGATTTCCCTTCCTTTTCTGCTTTACCAAATTGTAGAGGTAAATGGTACCACCATTTTATTGTCTACCCTTGTTTATACCTGTCTGGCTTATATAAAATATATTCTCAAATAAAATTAATATGCAAAGGGTTTGGTGGCACATGCCTGTAATTCCATTGGCTCTGGAGACTGAGGCAGGAGGATTGTGAGTGCAAAGCCATCCTCAGCAACAGCAAGGTGCTAAAGTACTCAGTGAGACCCTGTCTCTAAATAAAATATAGAAAATGGCTAGGGATGTGGCTCAGTGTTTAAGCACATCTGAGTTCAATCTCCAGTACCCCACAAAACAAAACAAAACAAAACAACTAAGGTGCCATGTTGAACCTATCCCTCAGTCTGAACAATCTACAGTTGCAAAATCCCAGAGGTCTGAATGTCCAGGTTGATTCATCTGGGCCACTAGTGTATGGACACATAATTATAAATTATCTACTCAGAGTAAACCTTCTTTTTTTAATCATGAGAAAAAGAAACTGTATGAAGGCTTAAACATTATTGAGGAGGCCTAAATTGGTAGTTTACCCAGAATTATCATTTTTCAAGTCTCTTGAAAGCATTGGCATGCATTTCTCCTTCTGAGTTATAAATAGCATTTATATTGGAAAAAGCTTCTTTGAGTTTTGAGGCATAATATGAAGAAACCCTATTACTTGAGGATTTTTTGAAACATAAAAATTAAATATGATATTCAATGTTGTGTCCATAAGTCTCATTTGGGTAAGAAATGAGACACAGCCTTATGAGGCTGTCAAGCCTCATCCACGTGTCTCCTCGTCCATCACTCCACAATCTTTCTATTCTGTTTAGGGAACAGAACTGTGTCACCTGAATACATGGGAATGTCTTCATCATTGTATTTGGCCAGGCAGTGGTCCATAAAGGTCAAGTGTCTTCCTCAAAGACCAAACTTTCCCTGTACCATTGGGCTTCTCAGTCACCTTAAAGCCAGAGGTGGTAGCATGACCGGTCCACCAAGGCACAGCAGGGACAAGGAGAGTGGTCACTGGAGGCCAACTATGGTTTGCAATGTCTCTGACTGAGAAAGAATAAAAAATGTGGCAGAGAGATTTTCAAACTTTCTGCCCAGTCCTGATGTAGGAAACAGGTATATAAAGGCAATTTGAGAGTTTCCTTCCAGATTTTCTTATTCAAAACATATACCAAAGTTTACCATGTTCTAGAAAAGGGTGTTTTTTATGCTGTATATGTATATTTCAAGGAAATAAATTATTTTTGGAGCTTCACATCTAGTGAGCACAAAAATAGTTTCAAGCTATTGGACAAAATTTATGAGACCTGAGTGGGAAAAGAAAGAAAAATTCCATGTGCAGAAGTGTATTGAATTCCATGAATGATTATCACTGGAGTAAATTAAAAATTGCAGTCAGATATATCCTCATCTGATCTTTTTCTACAGACACATTGCTTCCTTGGGAATGTTTCAAATTTCTTAAAAATGTGTCATCCATGGGAATTTTTCTTTCCCCCTTCTGACCTTGATGCCACAAATTTGAGTCACTTTTGCAAATCCTTCTTCTTCTTTTGTACAGCTAAGGTTTACAGGAGTCACACAAATGTAAACAGATTCCCCACCTTTCACCCAGGGTCTTAAGTGCTGCTCAGATAATTCTTATGTGCTCTTTGTCACTCCTCTGTTGCCATACACCAGTACTGTGAGCTTCCTCTATCATTTTCAAAAATTCAATTTGTCTTATTGTTCCCAATGTTATAAAATTTACCACCCAATGCACTTTTCTTGTATGATTGAATCCATTAGATATAAACTATATAGTCTTTCATCATATTTTGTCATTTTTCTTAAATTTATTTGAACTGATACCTAAAAACACAAATAATATGTATTTTAATGAGTAAATGGATGTGCTGGTGTATGTTTATATTGTGTTATCTTTGTCTCCTCAAACACTTTATTTCTTTTTGGTGAAAACTTCCCATATGCTTTTTTATAGATCTTTTAAATATAGTTCATTATTTTTTCTATAGTCACCCTACTGTACAATGGTGCACCAGAACTTCTTGTTCTTATCTAAGCAAAACCTCTTATCCATTAATTAATTTATAGCCTTCCATTTCCATCCCCTACACTATCCAACCTGTGGTAATCACAATTTCAGTCTTAAATTTGATATGATCAACTGTTTCAGATTTGACATACAGTGAGATTATAAGACCCTTGTCTTTCTTTATCTGACTTATTTCACTTAACGTAATGATTTCCAGGTTAATGCATGCTGTAGTAAATTAAAGGATTTCCTTTTCCCCCAAATAGTATTACATCATGTAAATTTATTTATCCATTTATCAGTTGATGGACATGTAGTTTAATTCCATTTCTTAGCTACTGTCAGTAGTGCTGCCATAAACATGGTAGTACAGATGTCTCTCCAACATCCTGATTCTATTTCCTTTGGATATACACTCAGCAGTGGATTAGTACATCATATGGTAATTTTTTTATTTTTTTATTTTTTGGTGGGATGTCTGATAATGTCTTTGTATTTCCTTTTTTTTTTGTAAAGGATAGTTTTGCTGTCTTAATTATTTTTGATTGGCATATATTTCTTTTAGCTCTATGAAAGTCTCATGGCACTCACTTTTAGCCAATATGTTCACTATGGATAAGCCTGCTGTCAGGTGAATTAGGCCACCCCTATGTGTTGTTTGTTTCTTTTCTCTTGATTTCTTCAGATTCTTTATCTTTCATTTTTGAGAGCTATATTATAATATATAAAGAGCCCAAAGGTTCAAGTCAAATTTGTATAAAGGCTTGAACAAATTTGTTTGTCCATATAACTTTTCACCCCTAAACAGAGACATATCTTTTTACTCTTTCCATAGTGTGCTGTCTGGAGCTTTGGGGAGGAATGAAGAAGGTGTTCCTGAGACCATCAATGCTGCCATGCTATTTCACAACCTGAGGCAACAGCCATCTAGGACAACACAGAACTGGGAAGGCACCAAGGCCTTCCTATTGCCTTCTAGCTGCCTATTAACAACGTAAACTCAAGGTTCAAGACTCATGCAATCAGCCACAGGTGATAACAGGTTCTTCTTGAGTCTGTCCCACCAGCACATGGGTCTTGCTCTCCCTATGAGCTCTGTCCCACATTTGAGGCCTCTAATTCCTACAGAGTGCTAAGTATCACCATGGTAGGCCTGGCTGAGCCCCAAGACAAAGTCCTGTGCCAGCCCTGTGCCTTGGTCCTTAGCAAATGGAGTCTTCCTTCCCCCTCTGCTGAGGCAGCTTGGAGGAGTGGTGGTGGAGACAGTCTCTTTGCTGCTGACTAAACACAGTTCTAGGTTTTCAGTCTGAGAGCACTGGAATACCAACCAGTGTTGTCAGACTCTACAGGGCACCAGGTTTCATTCCCACAGGCCTTTTCCGGGTTTTTAAGTTCAAGGCCTCAGCTTAATTTCCTTTCCATTCCCCAAGAAGGATTCATCTGTCTTCATGCTGGGCTACTTGAGGTTGGAAACTTTTAATATTCCTCCCTCTTGAATATGTTCTTTCTTTTTAATATACTAAAAGCAGGCACTCACCTGGTTTATTGTCTCTTATAAAGGTAGTTTGGTGTATGACTAGCAGTTAATTCAGTGTATTTTTGGGAGATCACTGAATAAACATCCTGGTGTGAGTCCTAAACTACACAATCTCTTACCATCATAAATATGCATTAATATTTTATGGCATTCAACATAGATTACCCAGGACTAGGTTACATTAATCTTCCCAAATATGAGTTCATACAGATGTTACATTTAAAAAGAAATGTAGAGAGACTCTTTTTGTAGTAAAGATTAAAGTAGAGCCTGTGACTCAGAGCATTTCATTCACAGTTCACGGGCCCTTATTGCCAATGTGCTAAGAATTCTGATGTCTGAATCTGGAAAGGAGAATTGCAAATTTTCAATGATACAAAATTCTCCTGTGAGGTGTTCAATCCCACCCCTATGCCTATACACCTGATTTCTAAGATTTAATGTAATGTGCTAGCATCTGAATTGGTTTCTTATAAACCATGCATGCTTTATAAGAAAACCCAGTGCAAAAGTATCTCTGGCTGTACATATATCAGCACTCAATTCAATTGAGAAAAGTAGAGCCTCATTCTGGTCTGTCTTTTGAAAAATGCTTCAAACAGAGAGTATGTGGTAATTTATGTGTAATCATAAAAATAGTAAATTAGACAAACAAAATTATGAAGATTGCTTTTAAGTGGAATTATGCTATAACAAACCTATCTTATCAAGAAAGAGAGTTGAGAAAGGAAAGGACAATATTTGAAGTTTACAAGAGGGCAAAAATATGAAGCCCATCATCCACAGCTATTTCAAACAATCAAAGTATGAGAGAACCTCTCTGTCCTACTTACTGGGTCATTCACCTCCTACTCCCCCTGGGTAAGACACTTACTTCCTTAGAACTTTTCATTCTTCAAAATAGTGGGGAATTCACTGTCCATACCTGAGCAGATGACTCCTGCATCTTCACTGTGTGAGCAGTCATTTTTGCCCCAGTCCTCTGAAAGGCACTGCCACAGATGGGACTCCTCTCCTGTGCACTCCAGCTCATCCAACCAGATGGGCCCTGATCCCTCACCAAAGGGTGCCTCATGCATGGCATTGAGGGCCTCACCACAGCCCATTTGTCTGCACACCACATGGGCTTCTTTAAGGTCCCAGCTGTCATCACAGACAGTGCCCCAGGAATGCTGGTGAAGGATCTCCACTCTGCCTGCACAGCGACTGTCCCCATCTACCAGGCGGAGCTTTGGGCTCTCTGAGGAGAAAGAATCATGTCAATGGTTACATTTATAAGAGAATGAGAAGCCTTTTCTTGTCATGTTCTACTACCAACTAAGCTTTCAGAATGCAGAGTTTGCTGGAGAAGACATGGAGTCATCAAAACAGGGCAGCAGCAAAGTCTTAATTCCTAACAAAACAAGTAGAAGAATTAATTGTGTACAAAAATGGAATTATATCCATTGTAATTTAGTAAGTAGTCTCAGGTAGAAATTTGGTAGGTCCTATCCTAGTAAAACTTGTTATTGGCAGAGTTCTTCATAAGGTGTGATAAAACATTCCTAGACATGTCAAGATTCCTACTTTGAATAGTTGAAAGTATCTTTTCTCTCAATGATTTCTAAGATTTAATGTACTGTGCTAGCATCTGAATTGGTTTCTTATAAAGCATGCATGTACAAGTGTCAATGGTTTGGCATTTGGAAGGATGAGAGCACAGTGCATGGAGAAAGGAACAGGGATAAGATCATCAGTAGTCTCCAGTGACTGCTATGAATCCAAGAAAAAAGAAATTATACAGGCATTAAGAATAAAAAATAAATGGATCACAAGGCAGACCATGGTTTACCTCAAAATATTTCACTGATGATTTTAGATTTCAGAGATCAGATCTGAATATTCAATTTCAAATTTGTGTTCACTTTAGGTAAATTGAGCAACCTCCCCAAAAGATGATTTCACATGTGGACATTGCTCAGATGCCATAAGGAATCATAGAATGTTACTTTTTTCCCAAAATAAATTAAATAATGGCTTGGATTTCCTATCAAGAGTTATTATTCAAAAATAGGAGTTCTTAATGAGGAGGCAATTAGCAGAATAGAATTACTTTTGTTGTGTCTGAGAATGAAAAGAGTCAGGGAACACAGGGGAAACTGTATTCTCAGAAGAGAAAGGGAGGACTTGGGACTAATTAAAGAAATGATAGGAATTCTAAATAACTCAGTGGAGCATTAAGGCAGCCCAGAGAAAAGCACAAAGCAATTTACAAGTTCAACTTCAGCTGCCTGGTGAGGGAGGCAACCTGCAAGCATAAGGTAAGCTGGAGAGTTCAAACAACCCAGATGGTGTCAGCAGACCAGCAGTCTTAGATATGGGAGAAACACATGGTTCTTATAAGCTTTAGATCAAGTTTGAGGAATTGTTCTGAGAGAAGTCCTCCTGCACAACCAGAGAGCTTTAGACAATTCATGCCAATGCTCAGCAAGCTCTCAGAGTGCTACTAAGAACCTATCATGAGAGGGGCCTATTGTAGGGGATAAACTGTACTGGGATTAGAAAATATAGATGAATCAATTCAAGGTCCCTGGGTCATATTGCTACCATGGTAGGGTGGAATACTAATGTACTCTAAAATCTCAGATAGGGAGAGTGCCTGCTGCAAACATACTGAAAGGATTGAGTGGCAGAGAAGGGCTTAGAAGCCTTATTAAGAAGTGGTCTTTCCCTCTGTGAAGAAGGGGGATTCCATTCACATGTGCTTACACATAGGGGAGAGAGCTCAGAGAACACATCTGATGATTTGCCCCATTCCCATATCCCCTTTCCAGGTGGAACTGAATGATTTGATTGCTTACACCATTTTTCACAGGCATTCAAGGATTCACCATTCTAGGACATTCCATGGGCAATGACTAGAGGCCTCTGGAACAAATGTGTGCCCAATAGTGGGATCCACAAAAGCATTGAAGGAAGGGCTTGTGGTAACCCTGACTTTTGCAATGCTTCCAAGTTTGTAAACAAAATCCCTCCAGTGTGATTATGGCCTGCCCCATCAACATTTCCTTACCCTCCATGGAAGGAAATGAAGATCACATTGCAGCCAGCATATCACACCAAATCCCAGAACATTTAGTGGGAAGTGAGAGGAACTACAATTGGTTTCTTTTGCAGGCTACTAATTCCCCATACCTGATGCATTTAAATATTAGATCACCTGGAAACAGGGGTCTCCAATGTAAAAATTTTATGTGGGAAGATTTTTGACACATTTTAAATCATTTATACCTTATATATTTTTTACTATTTAATTAATTTCTTTTTAAAATTCTTTATAAGAATTTTCTCATTTTTCCATTTCTTTACATATATATATATATATTTTTTTTAATTTCCCAATCTTCCTTCCTATTTATTTTTCTTCTATAATTTTCCTTCTTGAGTTATTTTTTATTTTATTAACTTTTGACTTTCTTGTTAATTTATTTTCCCCTTATCTATTGTTACTGCTGTTTTAGTTGTTGTTGAGTGTAATTAATTATTAATGTATTTATGTAGCTTCTTTATTTTATGTTGTTGTTATTGCTGTTTTTTTTTTCTTCTTTCTGAGTCATGTTGGTGACCATATATGATAATATATGAAAAGCACAATTCAAAATCAGTTAGAAGAAACAAAGAGGGTAACTACAGAGTGGTAAGTTGAACAAACTATCAAAAAGATGTAATGATTATAAATGCATTAAAAATTCATATGGAACAGAACATACTATTTGGTAAAACAAATCTTATAGGATATAAAGGGAAAATATACTTGAATACAATGCTAATGATGTCTTAATATTTCACTAATAACTTAGTCATCCAGACAAGATATCAACAAGCAAACATAGGATTAGAGTACATTATACATCAAGTGAACATAACAGCTACAGAGTGTTCCACCCAACAGCTGCAGAATACACATCGTCTTCATCTGCAGGGCAGCACTCAGCTTCAGAGTTGTACTCTTCACAGATCAATGAAACCTAATCCTCCTACAGTCTGATTAGCTCATGAAAAGAGTAAAATTCATTCACTGAACATTCTTAGAGCTTTGGCTGAGTATCAGACTGCTGTGGAAAGAGATCCTGAAGTGACCCAAGTAGCAGCATCAGTAAAAACTGAACATTCTCTTCTTCTCTTTAAACAAATATTCAAGTACTTATGGATCATTTATGATGTTCTAGCATTCTGTTATGAAATTTCATTCACTCAGAAGCCATGGAACAGATGTTTTGAATAATATATGACTTAGAAATATCAGTCTGCTATCAACTGTACACAGACAGGTGATCCTCACCTGTATTTCTCAGGGATCAATGGGTTCTTGCAAATGATGAGGTGTAAACAGTGCACAGTCAGGGGATGGATCAGATACAGGTGTGCACTGCTCTACAAACCAAGATAACCTGATTCTAAAAGATGGATATTACTATGGCCTACCCAGGCCTTCAATTAGAAGGGTGTTCCTTATATTACAATGGTTTAAGCACAGAACTTGATTTTAATTTCAAAACTACAATTCCTTTGTAATATTTCAATGGCTGATAAGAATCTGAAGATAAAAAAATTCCCACCTTCTTTTCCATTTCCAGATGGCTGAGGTAAAAATATCACCAATTTAGTGAGCTCCCCTCCTCATATCTGTGGTTTTCATACAAGAATGTATTCATGAATAGAAGTTAGGTGCTATACTGTATGTATTGCTCAGTCTGTACAATCTATAATAATGAATAAACATATTTCAGAATGTTATGATTGGTTCATTTGGACCTCTGTAAAATAGATACAAAAATGATCAAATATATATTCAGAGTAGCCCATCGTGAATGCTGTGGAATGGAATATGTCATAACTTGAGCATGGTTTAAAGGCCTACAGAGGTTGGCATTTACCTGTAATGCCCATTTCCATGGTTTACTAAAGAAATTGGCAGACATCTTCCCCCTCTGATTTGTAAACAACACTTATTGTAGAAGTACTGCTTGGAGTTTTGAAACATATAGTAAACCTACAGCCTGACACCTTTGTTTAGACATTGATATTAAACAAAATATCAGATGCTGGGTTTCTTAATGTTAATTTTCACTAGAAATGATAGGCACTTAACTAAAAGTGGTTTGATACATAAAACTGTAGAGATCACAGAAAAGTTGAACTTCTGAGAAGAAAGCATGAGAAATGGGACCTGATGCTTCTAGAACATTCCTTTCACATTTCCTTCCCAATTCCTGATTCTCTCATTTACCTTTGCTCTTTAGACTTGTCCTTTTCACTCAGCTGAGACTGAGGACCCCAGAATGTATATTTGATCCACAAGAATATGCCCACACAGGGCAGTGACTCCTATTGACCCCTCCTGTGTTTTGGGAAGTGGTAGTTACTAATCTATCAGGGATAGTGGATTAGTAGTGCACCATCAGCACTGTGTTGATCAAGAGCAATTGTGCCCCCAAAGAAGAGATATTTAGCAACAAATAGGGATGTATCTACTAAATTTAAGAAAATAAATCTAACAGGAAATATGCAGGACCTTTGTGAAAGCAATCAAACGGTTTTTAAAATTTAATTCAAATTTGTTATCTATATAATTACAACAAACATGCCATAATAATGAAAACTTGGGGCATGTTGTTGGTATTATATTTAGCTAAGCAGTGGTAACATAAAATACAAACTTTGCAGTTACATTTTTGGTTACAAGTCATAAGTAAGAGTTGCTCATCGTAATTAATGATAAATCACATCAGTCCTTTCAGGGTATATTGGTGATTGGTCACTGTGCATCTGTTATTCGGTTCATGTGTAGACAACAAAGTGTGTGTGTCCCACCTCCTTTTCTCTCAGTAATATGCTCACATAACCTGAAGCAAGAATGAATCATTGAAGGAGGGAACTGGTGGAAAAAGACACAAGTGAAGCAAACACACACCTACCAAAAAATTGTTATCTATGACAGCAGAATGCATTACAATTCATATTATATAGATAGAGCACAATTTTTCATATCTTTGATTGTACACAAAGTTGAGTCACACCATTCGTGTCTCCACACATGCACTTAAAGTAATGATGTCCATCTCATTCTACAGTCTTTCTTATCTCTGTGCCCTCTCACTGACCCTCCCTCCCCATTGCTCTATCTAGAGTTTGTCTAATCCTCCCATGCTCCTACCCATACCCCATTATGAATCAGCATACTTATATCAGAGCAAACAT